CATTATAATGCAGTATATGTTTTTTGTTGAAATCATAAAACCAGTACCAAAATCATTATTTTTTGTGATTTTACCAATTTCACTCGATTTTAACATGATTTTATCAATTTTTGAGTTTTTAAAGTGATTCAACACGTTAAGCATATATTAACTCGTAAAATCGTACAATTTGAACCTTGTTTGCCACTCACTTAGACTTTAATTGCCATCACTGACATGAAAAGAAGAACAATTCCCTTCACATCTTGAATACAATCTCAAGGGGTGGGGAACAATTACCTTTGCTTCTAAAATACACCGATGAAAACAAACCATTGGTGTTTTACACAGTGAACAATGCTAGGATGAGGGGAACAATTCTCTTTGCCTCATAAATACACTTACGAACACAAACCATCGGTATTTTCATTAGTGTTTTGTATAGTGAATGACTATCTGTATTCCTTATGTATCTATCATACAAATACTTATATTGAAAGTTGCATACATAATACAATAACACAAGTTCACATAGAAATTATAAAGTAAATAATAAATACTTTTTTGTTGAGAATGTTGTCAATAACTATTATATTATAGTTTATGACATTACATTTTCTTATTTTAATAGTTGGTCAGAATATTGTTCTTCTTCTTCTTCTTCAATTAACTCATTGTCATCTCCATTGCAATCTTCTATGTTGATAACATTGCTATCATCATCTTCATTAACTGGTACTTATTTGCTAGAGCTCATAACAACATTCAACTTTTTAGCTTTAATATCAATAAAAATATTATCAAAGACGTGAAAATTTAAATTTTCTGCTAAGTCAATTGATGGAGCAACTCGATATGGTTTAATTAACTCGCTAACTTGAAAGACATCATCTCCTATATTTAAGTCATTGTTCTTATCCTAAACAACCTCAACATGACTTTTAGCTTTGGTTTTCAATACCAAATAATCAATCAACTTCTAAAAGATCCTTTCTAAAAAAAAGGGGTGTATGTGTAATAAATTTGTTGACATTGCTTGAGGAAAACAAAAACATTGTTGATGTTGTGGAGTATAACTTTTGAGTTAATTTTGGCCAAACCATGATGGGATCTACTCTGACTTCTTTGTCAGTGGTGTCATACCAATAATATTAGAATAAAAAGACTATATTATGCTTGCTATGATAATGTAATTTAATTACCTCCTCTAATTTCTCATAATAGTTAACTTCAAAATCATTAGAAGTCGATTCTTTAACACAAACACCACTATTATATATCTTTGTACCCTATCTATTTTCTTGACTATAAAACACATATCCATTAACAAAATAATCGTTATAGCATTTCATCTTTCTTTCAGGATCCAAACTTAATAAAGATAATTAAGCACTAGCATTCATTTTTAATTTATAAATCTTGTACATCAAGTACAATAATGAATAATAAACAAGAATTATGTAATGAAGTTAAGTATCCCAATAGATAATGAATTTGTAATAATACTTACATATGTTCTGAATAACATAGAAAATTATTCATCTTGTAATCGAAAAACTTAGGATTCAGTCAACTATAAGTTATTAGACATTAAATATTAACAATGTTGCCTACGATCAAGGTATTCAACAATGAATGAGTTTGTGATATTACAAGAGGTAAACAATCCATTTATGACAAAGTTTAAGTAGTATATATATTTACTGAATAAAAGGTCTAGTTCATCACAGTTAAATAATATATTATTTTAGAAAAATACCCTTTACTGATAGTTTTTTTTTTGTACGGGTCGTCCAGAATTGAAGAATATTGACAAGTTCTTACTCAAAGACACTTCATCATCATCATACCTTAGAATGTGATTGATTTGTATTATCAAATGAGACTTGAAATAATATGAGATAAATATTGAGATCTCTTCAACAATAAAGGTCTTACATATCGAAACCTCAATATATGAAATTAAATAAATTTTTTTCAAATAAACAAAAATTTACACAATTAAGAACAAACACTTTTATTCTTAGAATTTAAATCTTAGAATTTAAAGGTTATTCTCTCATTTATTTCATTTTCTTAGTAGAAATTATTGTTATTCTCTTATTTATTTCATTTTCTTAGTAGAAATTATTGATTTTATTATTGAAAGTTCCTTAAATCCCATAAAGAACTATTTTATAGGTGTAAATTCGTACCACCAATCATCAACTTTCTACACTCTAAAAAAGAAAATATTAGCGCGAAAATATGATCATCTTCTATCCAAAAACTTAAAAACCATTATTCCTATGTATAATGAAATTTTTCGACATCGTGATTAACAAAATTTGATAAAATCTAGAAATCGATATTAATTTTCTAAGAACTTTTAGAAGTATATATAAAAACTCCAACTTGTAAAGTCAAACTCCCTTTTTGAAAATCTAAAGCCAATCTTTTAGGAGTTGTTGAGCTAAAAAAACAAACTTATATTTAATCTTTGTCCGTGTGGGTTTGATAAATAAATAAATAATTGTATCGGTTTTTTGTGTGGGTTTGATAAATAAATAAATAAATAAATAATTGTATCGGTTTTTTGAACTTATCACTTCAAGCATAATTTAATTTAATTTAACTTCCAAACACCATAATAAGATATAGAACCATATAATTTAATCAAATCGTGCATCATATTCTCCATTAGCAGTCACAATTCACAAGTTGTTTGCTTGAGGGTCAAATAGTTTAGAAGTCCAAAACGTGTGTCTTAATTTTGCCAATCTTTCTGGCCTTTGATTAATTTCTCAATAAGAACATGATCAAGGCATTAATTAAGACTACATAATTTTTATATTAATTAAAATATTGAAGCTTTACTGATATGGGAATCATATAAAACAGAAAAAGATATAACAATTGGAAAATTAATGCTTGATTAAAATTAATCGCGTTCATTGGCTATTGAAGTGAAGGAAACTGTTCAAACAACAACATTTTCCATCAAAATACATTGAATTACACCTCTTTCAAATAATTAAATAATTTTTCTTTAATTACTCAAATGATCACACTCATACAAAGGCAGCGAATGTCTAGCAAATTTATCTGGACTACTTGACCTTAACGTGTGGTTTCATGTAAACTTAAACTTGTAAAGTCAAATTTCTTAAAATTTGGAAAATCACTCAAACAAGATATCCAGTGGGTGGAAGAAATTCACTGCTGATAATTACTCCTCCCCCCTAGTATCATACAACCAAATAGAGGCCTTAATTAGGTCTCGTATATTTACATATATTCATATCCATAATTATTATGCTTGATCACTTCAAATATGAATTTTAGCTGAATAATTTAGTACAACATGAAAGGTAGCTGATAGGCTTTTTTACCTGTATATACACATACATACATACATACATATACACATACATATACATATACATACAAACAAACAATCAAGCACTAAAAAAACATAGAGGCGCATATAAAATATTTTTGTTGAAAGAAATCCGTGGATCAAGCCTCAAAATACCTAGAGGTAGATACAATATCTTGTTGTTGGAATAAATCTCATGTGTTTTCTTATTCCAAAAGGAAACTATCGTGATGCCATAGCAACAAATGCATATGCCTAAAGGAAATCCAATCAATAGCAGAAGGGATAGAAGAGGCACTGAGGAAACGTAAGAAAAGAAACATGGGTTTTCTGTAACAAAATATTTGTGTCATCCATGATCTCTTCTCTGGAGGAACATGCATGCGGGTTTAGCGATGAACGAGTCTTGTGGGTGTCATTGTCTCTGATTTGATTTGATTTGATTTTCAGTACAGATCACAAACTCTTGCAATTGTAATGTCTCACTGCTGCCATCTTCACGTGCACATCCACCAGCACCCATCAAACGTTTACTTCATCCTCACCTCACTAGCTTGTAGTACTCTTACCCTAATTTGACAAGTTTTTTCTTTTATGTTTAGTGTTACTAATTGTAATTTATTAATTTTATTTAAACTCCTTCCACATTTCGTGCCTTAATTGTTTGTTTCATTGGTGATATATATACAGCAGATGTTTTTAAATTAAATTGGAGTAAGCATTAATTTGATGTTTTGAGTATTTTTTAATAATTTTAATATTTTCATACCAAAATAATTTTTTAAAAAATTAATTTTATCATGATTTTGATGTTTTTTTTAATCCATTGAATTAATAAACTACAACCTTCATAACACACACACACGTAAGTTTTTGGTTTAGTTGGGCCAAGACCTAACTAAGCCACACAAGACTTGGTTGGGTTAGGCCCTGCCAAGTTTAGTTAGTGCAAAATTTTGTTTTTTGATTTTTATATTTGTTATTTGAATATTTAAAACTCAAATATTAATTTAATTATCAAAGTGTTTTTTTATTCCATTAAAAAATTATTAGGTAAAATTCTAGAACCAAAACTTATCATTTAAAAAAGGTCTATTTCTGTGAAGTTTTTCTATAACTTAATTAAACCTCAAAACTATATAAAACTACAAAACAAAAATGAATGTAATTAAGTGTAACTGAAAGTTTACCAAATAATTTTTACTAATTGTATATGAGTTCTTGTTGCTAGCATTTTAGAATTTAATTAGAAGTTACTTATATAAGACTAAATAAACTCCACAAGCTATAAATTTAATTAAAATTCATGATGAAATTGAGCTGACCATGTCCCTTTTCCTTTTCATACCAAATACAAAAAAAAACCCTCCGAAACTTCTTGGGCTGTTGTAAGAGGGGAATTGAGATATGTATATTATACGGTTTACATACACATACTATATGCGTATTTTCAGCTTATTGGCTTCAGGCAGGAAAAGGCAAATTTAAGCCTACTTTCCAGTTGGTTTGTTTCATTGACTCTTATAATTCTATATAGCATAACCGATCGATCTCTCTCCTTGTATCCAAATCCTGTTTCCAAAAGACAGCCTCAATTATCATTAATTAATTATCAAACACCCCTTTTTTAATCAAGTCAATTGCCCGACTTCCCTTCTATTTAAGCCTACATTTATTCCTTGCCCCCCAGCATAGACAGATTGATATCATCTCAACCTAGCTAAATACTTCAAGCTCTCTCCTTTCTTCTCCTACCCTTCTTTCTTGCTATATAGCACTTGTATATAACCATGGAAGGTATAGTTAGGCCGCACTCATGTGACCCTAAATCATCACCTCCTTCTAAGCTAGGCATTCACAGAGATTCACATGTAATATCAAAGTTGATCAAGCCCAAAGTTCGCGTAATTCACATATTTGCACCACAGATTATAAAGACTGATGTTGCAGATTTTAGAGAGCTTGTTCAAAGACTCACTGGCCAACCTTGTGAAAGTAAAGGCATGATCAAGAAGAAAGCAGGTAGCAGTAGTACTGCAGACAAGGGAAAGAAGAACACAGCAGGTTCCTCAATAAGTGAGTCAAACAAGAAATCCATGCGTCAGTTGCCAGAGTTGGGGTTGCCTAGTTTGATTAGAGCAGAGAAACTTAAGGTGGAGGAGGAAGCAAATAAAATGTGGGGAGGTGAGTGTTCTTCAAGTAACTGTAATTTCCTTGATGGGTTTGAAGATTTGAATGGTTTTATACATGATTTGGGTGACAACTTTCCGTTGACAACAACTAATTCACAATCTACTCATGGAATGGATGTTTATGAAGACATATGCACACCTTTCTTGGCAAAAGGTGGATTAGTTTAATTTGAAGGGCATGGCAGGGTTTGGCTTTTGGTTCTTCATCAATCCTGTCAGTCGATGACTTTCTCTCACAAGACAAATTGAGATAAAGGGTGAGCTTTGTTTGATGGGTTTGCAGATTTGGATGTGCAGCTGATTGATTTTGTCATATGAGGCATGCATGAGCTAGATAGATGAGCTTCCTCAATCTTCTTTCGTGGACATGGTTAATTTATGGTTTCTTCATGGTTTTGTTTCCACGGATTTGCTTAGTGAGACAGGTCTCTCATCTCTAAATCTATGGAGGATTGACTTCTAGAACTGGGTTCGTTTTGGGTTTTCTTCTTCTTCTTCTTTTGGCTTTGCTTTGTTTTGTTGACTTTATGACCTGATCTCCAGCAAGTAAATATTTCAATGCACACATATTTTGCCGACTTTTTAATGTCTTGATTGTACTGAGCAACTGGTCTTGGACATTACACGCTTTCCTTTTCATTTTTTCCGCAGACTATTCTCCAATTTCTTCTTTTTTGCCTTGAGTTCGAGAAACACATTGTGAACCAGCACTATTCACCCCTTCATAAAATATTATAATAGATAATATTATAGATTTTTATAGATTTTATTTTAGTTTATAAAATTTTATTGTATACAATTTAATTTAAATTGAAGATAAATACTTAGTTAAAGGTGAAATTAGAAAAAAGAAAAGAAAAAAAGATCGAACTAATACAAATATTAAACATGATTGGCTTTCAAAAGATCACATGGAAAATCCATTTCAATCCTTGATCTTTAAAAATATCGCAATATATACTATTTAGGTTCCTTTAATTTTTCACAAAATCAATTTTTATATATAAGTTTTTATTTATATTATTTTTTAATTTCTAATTAGAGAAAGAAGAAAGAGGTTGTTGAATTCTGACCAGGAGAGACAAATTCACCATTAGCTCTATTTCTATTTACCAAAATGGGTTTTTTCAGTGTCCATGGGCTCCCTAAGATGAGAGAGACTTCATGACAATTTCTTGAAGTCTTAAAATTACATAAAAAACAAATTTAAGTTGAGAGAGTCAAAACTAAACTGGCTTGATTTTAGAATTTTAAATTTTTTTTTTGGTATTTGAAATTAATGAAATAGTTTGTAAGTGTTATAAAAGTGTTCATAAAGTGTTTTTGAGTTGAAATAACTTTAAAATTAGGTTTTTCAGACAAGAGATAAGCTGCCTCGATTTTCAACCACCATATTAGTGACCAGAATCTAGGCTCGCAAATGACATGTCGTCTTTCTTAATAGGTAACGTGTCACTTGCTTATGTTTTTTCAAAATAAGCCTAGGTCCGTCAGCACTCCTAGGCTCTTCATTTCAATGGCTCAAACTTCCTAGATTATTGGCCCATGAGTTTGGATCCTTTTGACCTTATATTTTTTTCAAAAGGTTAAATATAAATTTTTTTAAAGAAATATTGACCCTCATTAAGTTTATAATTCAAGTCACGGGTTTAACAAATTAAACTACAACAACTAGAAAATTATTTTTTTTCTAATATTATTTTTTTTACTCATATCTTTTTTGTATATATCTTTTTAAAAATTAATTTTAAAATTTATATTTCAATTAATATCCCTCATCAATGATTTTGTGTTTTTACTTATTTAATCTTTTTTTATAGAGATTGTATTTTTTTATGGTGTTGTCTGTATTTAATTTCTGAAAAAATTATTTTGATTCTTCAATATTTTTATAATTTTTTTGTATACAAGAACTTTATTTTTAAAAATAAAAAATATTATTTTCAAATAATACTTCTGATATATACAACCTTGCATAATATGTTTTTCTCGTTTATTTTTTAATCAATTTAATATGTATGTCTATTTTTAATGTCATTTAATTGAATAAAAAAATAATTAGAATTCAATAAACACAACTGGATAAATATTCTATTTATTGACACATTCGATTTTTTTATTTTAATTTTAGTTATCATTAAAACATTTTTCCCTGTTTATTACCATACATAGTTCTCAATTTATTTGATTATATATATGTATAAGCTTTTTAATTTACACTTTAATTTTTGAAGAGATTTTTTTTTAATTTAGTTATGATTATACATATATATCACTTTTGTAGATGAACTTTATTTTTTTAAATTAATAAATTTTATTTTCAAATAATAATTTTAATACATGTGGCTTTGCATAAGTTTAAAATATATGTCTATTTTTATTATCATTTAATTGAATAAAAAAATTATTTTAAGAAATAAATTTAGTAAAGACAACCTGTAAATATCTCATCTTATAAGATTAAATATTTTAATTTACACTTTTTTTTTAATTTTTTCAGTTTTATTTTTAATTATCTATATATTAACATATATAGTTCTCAATTTATTTAATTATATGTATTATATGTAAACTTTTAAATTTTCACGCAAAATGTTTTTAACTACAAAAACAATGTTGAAAAAACCTATATAAAAAACTATTTGTCAAAAAAAAATTATTTAACCCAGCATAGATGTGTGTGTGTCTAATGTTGAGCATTTAATATAATTAAGGTTGCCATAATGAAGAGAGAATAAAATCATGGTAGTAAAAACCGTATTGGATGGTTGATTTGTTAAACTCGAGACTCCAAGCTTGACTCAAATTGGGTTTATTAGTTGAATAAGTTAAGATTTTAATTTCATATGACTCCTCTAATTTTTCTGTGATTTGAATCCTGTGAAATTGTGTCATCAATGTTGTTAATACACATTTTTCTTTGCCGCGTTTTCCTTCTAGAAAGTCTTCCTTGAGCCACGTCACCAAAAATCATACAATAAAAAAATAAATGATAAAATTGATATAGATACGTGGAAGGTAAAATAAAATTAAAAGAAAAACACATCAAAAAATAAATAAAATAGCATAAATAAAATTAAATAGTAAAACACATCAAAAAATAAATAAAATAGCAGAGAATTGTGTTTTATTGATTAAAAAGAGATTTTGTTCAGTCTTTTTGGGAGAAAGTTCGAGAGAATATGATAATATTAAAAATAAATAAATAAATATTATTTTAAAGTATTATTAATTAAAAAATACTCTTGAAAAACCCCATCCCCTCATTTCCTAGAAAGCAGTAAATCCACCTCTAGACAGAACACAAAAGTCAACACCAAACTTTGTCAACTTTCTCGAAACCAGCAGCTGATTGGGGAGCTTCAACGTTTCTCTAAAATACAATACCTAACCGCCACGATTTGCAAGATTAGATGGGTATACTTTTATCAGTAATGGGCGATGCATGCCGCAGCATCTCTTGAACCATTTATTTATTATGAAATCTTATACCGTACTCAATTTAAATTATTATTTTTTTAATGCTATTAAATATCATGTGGAGAAGACCATCAATGAACAGAAAGTCTGGTTCATGTGGGGCAAGTTCCCATCCACCTTCCCCCTTGAAACTCATGATTCAATCAGCTCATTATACTGTTTCTCTTTCTTGTTTGTGTAGAAATGACACAGAAGAAACGATGTGAAAAGAAGAAGAGTAGAAGGAAACTGGTTCAAGCCATGCCGAGAACAATGATCTCATGCCGTCCATTGACTTGAACTTTTGATGAGAAGATGGAAGTTGGAAAATCCCTGCAATATTTGACCAACTCTAATGAATTATCTTTCGGGATGCAAAATTATCATCCTTCACACATTACAGAAAGAGGAGGGTCAATTGTTATAGATGCAAATTGCGTGGAACTGATTGAAAGCGAGAGTTTAGCTACAATTGCGCACACAGAAACTGGGCAAACAATCTCAATATGCAATTCCTGGAAATTGCGAATGGAAGCAGTACAATCAATGGCTTATATCATGCTTGATTAAATAACAAAGTCTTTGTGCTTTTTGTCACATTGTGGTCCAATAAGACATTACATCTATATTGTTCTCTGCATAAGTAAAATAATCCATGGCTTGTTCACTGAATCAGGGCTTGTACTTCATTTAAGGTAAAGCTAATCATCATGGAAGGCACAACACTGGTAAGAACTTAAAGACATTTGTCACAACCCTAGGGTATAACTTCGGAAGATCCCTACTGAGGTCTATATGATGAATTCTCATCACGCCTTGCCCTTTAGGTTGGGGCTTCTGATAGCTCATGAGAAGTAATCAGCGCTGTGTTTTTCAACTCAATGCAGTGAGATCAACTGAAAGAGAGAATGAAAAGAGTTGTTTCCGCACTGCATCACCTCATCAAACCTGAAAGGAATTCCAAATGTTTTTTAAAATTGACAATCCATTTTAGCTTCAAATTGAGTGTTCAAGGTGGACTTTTAGAAGGGCAATCAGTTGTCATGCTTTTTGCAGCATCTTCATAAGCTAAAGCAGTCCTATGTCATAAAGACAGGATAAATGGAAACATCAATGATACATGTTTAATCTCATTTAAGCACGTATGTTTCACTGCCTTGAGTAACTAAACTAACCAGAGAAAGCGCTCCTACTACAAGTCCGACCAGAAAGAGAACTGGGTGACAGGTAATGTCTTGATGGATTGAGGGCAGTTAAGTTAGGCCTTGTAAGATTCACATGCTGTATAAGTGTGAGAGTACCTTGTTAACTCTGAAGGTGGTCAAAACCTAAGGGAAGTTACAGAATTGCAAAAGCTCAAATGAGCTGGCTAAGATTTTCATAAAAGTTTTCCAACTAGTTGAGAGGACACTGTCATGGTGAAATCCCATTCGAAGCTGCAAGAGCAGACTAGGTACTTAGTTTTTTCCAGAACTACCAAATCTTGTGCTATATTAAGATTGTACTGCACTCTCATGCTTAGGATCTTACCTGTAAGTAGTTTTTGAGTTGTGAGTATTTGCATTTGTGAGAGCACGTATTCACCTCCCTCACAAGGTGATACCCAAACCTAATATTCTTTCAAGTAATTAAAACCCATTAGATATGTAAGTTTTTGAGGTGAAAAATTATATTTGGCAAAGCAAAGATTTTAAATAAAAACAAGTAAATTTGTGAACAATGGAGTTAGACAGAGCTGACTAAATAATGCAGGAATTCCATCTCAATGAATGCTATACAGGAACGGACAAAAGAAAATTCAACATTAGCACTCACAAGAGGAGTCAGTGGACATACCAAGCCTTAGCCCCCTATATGTATCATTGGTCTATTAGCTGTTTTTGCAATGTCAAACATTCCAGCATGTGAAGCTTTTTTCCTCTTGACCTGAAGCAAACAAGAAAAACTGAATGAGACAAACAGTGAAAGCTTGAGAACAAATCATGTTTATTTTTTATCTAAAAATTTCTAGAATCTCTTAGTTTAAACATGAGTTAGGCTAGATTGGTAAAATTTTAATCTCTAATGAAGAAAGACAATTTTTTCATTAGAATTAAAGCATGCATTTATTTAAAGTATTAGTTTTTCTATTTCCAGTGATATTCTTTAAAATTTATACATAAAAGACAAGTTGACAAGTTGCTAAAAATCGATAAAATTCATGTGCACGGGGTCCAAATACAATGCCCAAAATGGCATGACCCCTAAAAATCGATAAAATTCATGTGCACGCGGGACATTCCCAGGTACTTTCAGCCAATAATACAGACCCAGATATAGTACAAAAAATAACTCGGAGAGAGAGAGTGACGCACTGCAAGATATCAAATTCACTATCAAAATCTTAGTTTGATCATGTGTAGAGCATACATGTCAAATGTTGTTTGAAAGGATTCCATCTTGCCTTGGGTAATACTCGGGTCTTAGGTTTTGACTAGTTTTTGAACCCACTAGAACTTGAATGAGATTCAGTGCATATTTCCTTTCAAAGTTTGTATGAACCTCAAGGATGCAAGATTTCATAGATGGAGTATACATCTTCCAGGTTTTTCCGTTCTTTTTTTTTTTTAAGTATTATAGCACAGTTCCAATCTCATACAAATGCTCTCTTGCCAAACTGTTTTGCCTGCTTTTATATCATTCAATGGAAAATTCAAGATTAAAATAGTCAAATAATTTTAGGATGAACCACATTCAATGTAATATTAGCAACAACCACAATAAAAGAAAGAGGATGTTGAACAAGCAAGTGGGATAGAAGAGCTAAATTTTTCTTTTTGATGGGTACCAGAATAAAAGAAAAGGAGAAGATCCTTAATACAAAGAATCGTTCCAAGCACTCCAACTCAATTGGTACCACATTAGTCAAAATGAAGAAAATATTGTGTGCACTAGAGTAAAGTAGCTAAATGTGCCTCTGTATGACACACAGACTGTACGGTCATTACAAGGAAACCAGATGTGAGTATAACCTCATCTAAAAGAGAATGCTGTGATGGATCTGAGGTAGCTGAAGGAGGAAAAAGAAATATAAAATTTTCAACTTTAGATAACAGCAGTCAAGACTTAAATCTAAAGCAAGTTCATTTGGAATAACCTGCAACACCACAAAGAATTTGGAAGATTCAGGTTAAGACAAAACAAGATTAAAAATGACCTGTGAAATAGGCTCTGATGAAACATGGCATACCGTATTTTAGTGGAAACAGAGATGGTATCTGTAGAAAACCCCAAAAGCTAAATTATACTCTACCTTAGTGGCTAAACTTGTACATAAAAATCTCACATACTCATCTAAATGTGGAAACTACGAGAAAAAGAAGTTTATATTCTTTCTATCTGGTACTGGCAAGTCAAACTAATAGATGGTCTGATTATAAATTTGCGTATGCATTCCAAATTCAATGAGCATGTGAATCAGTTTTTATGCCAAACAATGCATAAGGAAAATAAAGAAATCAAGCAGAACCATACTGAAAAGTTAACCAGCTTAGGCAAACGTGCTCAACGCCACACAGAAAGGAAGATCAAGTAATAGAAATTATATGATCAGGCTCTATAACTTGAATAGAAGTTGATCAATAATCACTATAGCAGGGAATGAGATGGTCACCTCTGAAGGACCAAAGAGGCAAACTTTAAAGTTTCCATCAGCTAAAAGTCGCAATCTATTGCAACCAGCACAGAAATGCTCAGTCATTGAGGTGATAAAAGAAACCATACCAAGATGCCCATCTATCCTGAAGTTCTTGGCCGTATCAGCTGGGTGATCCTGCAGCCTCTTTAGGCCAGGAAACTGTTTTCCCTGTTCAATTAAAAGAAGTTACCAAAAGAATCCATAAGGGGACGCTAAAAAATTTCCTCACAGACCTGTCAGAGTTCTACCTTACCACTCTATCCAGCATTTCCATGTACGGAACTAGTTTCTTGACATTCCAAACATTTCCATCAAAAGGCATGAACTCAATGAACCGAACATTAATTGGTTTGTTTTGTGTCAACTCCACAAAATCACAAATCTCATCATCGTTAAACCCACGCATCACCACACAATTCACCTAATTGAAAATAACAAAGAGGGGAAAAGAAAATAATTTTTAGATCAGAGTCAGTGAAAGCCCTAAAATTAGTAAATAAATAAATATGAAGCTAAAAGTGAACCTATCATTGCACCAGCAAATCACTGGTTAGTGGATCAAATATAGAAAGAGCATAATTGACAGAGAAAGCATGGACGAACAGAACTGCAGAGAGCACACATACTTTTACTGGATTGTACCCACAGTCAATAGCAGCATTAATTGAATCCATAACTCTTTCATGCCCTTTCCGCCTAGTCAAAAATTCAAATTTTGCAGGGACTAATGTGTCTAAGCTGATATTTACAGAAGTAAGTCCACATTCTTTCAGCTTTGGAAGTTTTCTCGCAAGAGTGATTCCATTGGTTGTCATGGCCAAGGTCTTTAGTCCTTTCAAGTTGGACAGCTGTAAGCATATGTCTTCAATATCTTTTCTAATGGTTGGCTCGCCACCAGTCAAACGAATTTTATCTACTCCAGAGCTCACGAAGAGATTTGCCAAATGAACAATCTCATCCTGCGAGAGCAATTGAGGACTAGGAGTGAGCTCCACGCCCTCAGCTGGCATACAGTACTGACAACGTAGATTGCAACGTTCTGTCAAGGAGATCCTCAAGTAAGTGTGCATCCTCCCAAATGAATCAATTAACATGTCAGAAGCGAGATTAGTGCTCTGTGGATCTTCTGGCAACTTAGCACAGTAAGTTGCATATGCCTTTGGCAAGGAGCCACTAAGATGGCCGCTAAAAAAACCTTGGTACTTGCTGTTTCTGGATGCATAATAGGATTCAGCCTCACAGCCAACCTACAAGCGAATTCTGAACATCATCACCATTTCAAACTTGCACATTAACTGGAGTAGCAATCAAAATATTAAAAAGCATCAAGAATGCTCATTTTCTAATCTAAACACAACCAAGTGCAACACAAGCACATAATTGATCAATTTAAACTCTTGAAATGATAGAGATTAAGGCAGAAGAGGAAACCCGGTTATGTGAGACTAGAAAGAAAAAAACATTGTATTGGACATTTATCAAATAATTCAACTTCGAAAAGGCTTGTGGAATAACCTATGAGCACAAAAGGTGATCAGATAACAGTACCGCTAAAGTATTATCTAGCTTGACATGAAAAAAGACCATCATAAAGCCAAATCTCCAAAGGTTTACAATTTTCAAGAGGACACCATGATGAAAAGGTTGCTACAGAAAGAAACACTTTGTTACTATTGTTCCCCTTGATAGCTACAGGGCAACGAGTTTTCCGTGTGCATTATGAATGACAAAATAAGGATACTGGCATTAATGGCGTGTCTAAATCATGATGACAGACAATTGAAGATGTTTTCCTAGAACAGACAAACGGAATGATCAAAAAATTGAAAAACAAAATCATGGGCTTCTCTAAGCGGCATGAAATAAAACAAAGACAATTTCAACTCATCTAAAAATGGTTATCTACAGGCAGGCTGAAGCAAGGAGCTACTTTTGGACATTGCTCCAAAGTATCAATTAGTCCCATCCCATGAGAAAATACAATCCTAGTGGGAACAATACTCAGGACACAACACAGATAAACTGAAAATCATCCAAAAAAAATGTAAATTAAACAAAAATACGTTGCTACATTTATATCCAACTATGCAGAATCTTAATGAAAAAATTACGGTGAGAAAAAGAGAGAGAGAGAGAGAGAATAGAATTGATACCATGGAGAAACTGAAATTCTTCAAACCCAAGTGCCAATTAATAAACTTTGAAGCATACCGCCTCATCATAGCTTAGCTGATAATTCAAGAGACAAGGTTGAAGTTCAAAATAAGAAATGCCTACGTAAAGAGGCACTAAGAAATTAAACACTCTCGTTAAAACATATAGAGAGAAGAAAAGAAAAAACAGCATTGATTGGTAGATTGATACCTCGTAGAAATGGGTTTTCTTGTGTTTTCCCGAAAGTGGAACGAGAGACAGAGAATGAGAAGATGGAGATGACGACGAGAAGACGGCTGAGACTGCCCTTTCATTGAGTCCAAACTCTAATGTTCTTTTCTATAAACAGCATCAGTCAACGCTATTATTTTTATCCTTTTTTTTTTTAATCATTGTTATTGTTTTTTGCAGTCGTAAAACAAGACTAGGCATCAGCATGTTTATCTGAAATGACTCGGAAAATTCGATACTCGAAGTAATTAAAGTGATGAAGATTTTGATCCATGAAATCCATTTGATCACGTTAGGTTTTATAACCCAAGTTACGTGATGTATTCGGTTAGCAGAAATTGGGGATTTTTGTTGCAGTTAAATAGGAATATGTGATATATAAACTATATAAAAAGTTTTAATATATATTTTTATGAATTAATAAAATATTGTTATATCCAAGATAAGATCTAGTTCTGTGGAGATTGCATTGATGATCTATTCACTACGTGGATTTCCTCATCTTAAGCTTTGAAGATTCTATTTTGTTATTTTTTATTGGTTATTTTAAATGTTATAAATTTTAATTATCTTTTTTTTTTTAAGATTTTAGTTTTTCTTACCTGTAAGATTGGTTTCAGCTTATATAAATGCTTGCAGACCTTGGAGAGATAAAAATAAAATAAGATTTTAGGATTTGTCTGTTAATTTTATTTTAAACAATATCTTGCCTTTTATGCTTGATTTTTTTGTACTTACACGTGCATCATTACGTAGGTTACCCAACCAAATCAATACAAGTCTAAGTTTAGGACTATGGCTCTCTTCAAAGACATGGGTGATATTGTGTTTTTTAAATTTTATTTTATTTTTTTATTTTTAGATTATTTTAATATGCTAATTTTAAAAATAATTTTTTAAAAATAAAAAATTTATTTTAATACATTTCTTAACAAAAAAAAAACACTTTAAACCATAATCGCTACCACAATTCCATATAAACTCTAAATATATAAATCTCTATATTGCAAAGTTCTATTTTTTAACCACCAAAACTTATTCACATCACAATTTTCTCTCTATCTGTTAAGCTCACTGCAATAATTAGTTTTCTCCTAATTTGTTTTACATTTATTTTTTTAATTAACACAATAATTTAAAGTTTTGACAAAATAATATAATTTAAAAGGGATTTAATAAAATAACATGTTTTTACTTTATCATACTTTAAAAGTGGGCCATTTACTAAATATCATCATTTTCAAGTGCAATGAACTTAAAACACTTCCCACATTAAAGCATACAACCAATATAACAACTCTCTCTCCAAACCAATGTTCTACCGCGCAACATGTTGTAAAATTAAAACTCTCTCAAAATCAAAGAATGCAACAAATGCAGCAACTCTCTCTCTCTCTTTCTCTCTCTAAACCAATGTCCTCACCCCTTATCTCTCTAGAAACCCATCAAACACTTGTTTTTTTGCATTTAAAACACCCAAAACTCGAATGCATCCTAGTGTACAAGCATCCTCGGATGTTTTTCTCTTTAAAATCCATATTTGTCGTGGTTGCTTGATTAGTACTTAAAAGTGCATTTTTATCATGGTTTTATATCATCATTTTGCACTTG